CTTGGGACCAAACTTGAGATAGTTTCGCGGAGGAAATTTTGAAACATTCAACCTAGAAGAGATAAGAGAAGTCTTTTTTTTTTTACATGAGAAAGATGTGTGATGCTTCTACAAATTGAAAAGACATGCATCCTTAGATGTACATAATGTTGAAGATAAAAATTGTTATTATTATCTTTGAAAAAAGACTTATTTTGATGTTGACAAGGATTTTATGTCAAAACATCTTAGATATTATCTATTTTTTCAATACACATTAAATAATACTTATCATTTTATTATACATGGGGCACTACTTTTAGCACATACACTATCTTATCTTTTAGTATACATTATTTCTCATTTTATTACATGTTACCTATCATTTTTGTACATCACATTATTTAACATTTAAAATACACTTTGAAACTAATGTGAAGACATTAATACTTTTGAAGACTTTTTATTTATAATTTAACTCGATTTAAGGACTAAAATAAAAACACATTGAAAGTTTGGCAAATTTTATTATGATTACTTTATCAATACATAATGCATTAATAATTGACACTCATTAACTAATAAGAAAAATGACAATATTCTTTGAGAATTTTTTTTATAGTTTACTTCAATTCAAGAATTAAAGTGAAATCGCGATTAAATACACGTTATCTATCATTTTATTACTCATTACACGTGATATATTATTTATCATTTTAGTACACGTTAACCATTACTTATCACATTATTTAACATTTGAGATACACTTTAGTATTTATTGACGTTATCAACCAACACTCATTATGAAATTAATGACAATAACACTTTTAAAGATTTTTTTTTAATTTAACTTAATTTAAGAACTAAAATAAAAACATATTGAACAAATTCCACCGTAAACAAAACAAATTCCACCGTAAACAATTGGGGTTCAAAATTTACACTTCAGCTTGATATGAGTAAAGACTAATAATTCCACAATATTTTTGTAAATGTATACGTCATGTAATTGGTCTTTACATGGAACTTATCTTCAAGGTTTTACTTCTTTGGCCACCATGAGGTTAGATTGAGGCTAAGATAAACATATAAGCTTGAAGTTGACTTGTAGTCACTAGTATATGGCACCTAACAGCACAAAAACCCACATTAGCTATAGCCGTATAGGATTAGTGTAGATGAAAACTGATTGGAAAACTCTTGTGTAGCGTCTATAATGCTAAAAAAAACCCTATATCTAATACTTTAAATTTAAAATCTAAAGTCTTATATTTCATTAAACAAGGCTAGGTGAGTGTGGGTCATAGGTTATGTTAGGTCAAGGCCAAAAGCTTATATTCAATCTAGGCTTATAAAATGAGGTCAGAATTTTGTGAAAGATTACTTTGTATGGGTCTTTTGCAGGTTAAGCTTAGATTAGATTAAAAAATTATTTGTTTAATTCATGCTCAAAAATTAAGACTTAAGTTCGATCAACAATTGATCAAACAGGATTAAGCTAAGTAATTTTTAAGTTCGATCAACAATTGATCAAACAGGATTAAGCTAAGTAATTTGCAAGTTGGATGCATAGAGGGTCAAAGCAAGTTACACACATGAACATAAAAAATATATGCATAACCTTGGTGAATGGTTAAAGTTTAATGCTTTTAAAATTAAATCAGTCATCAAATCGATTAAGACATTAGTTCAAGATTTAATAATTTAATTATGTTTGAATTATGGTTAAATCATCATTAATAAAATAATAATATTTAAATAATAAATAAAAATAACATCATAATTTTGTAATACTAAAATTAAAATAAACATCATTTTGTGTATTTATATATTTTAAAGTGTATATAAAAGTTTATATAT